ATCACTATAAAATGAATTAGGTTTGTTTTAAAAACGATATAAATCTAGCTTTGAAGTACCACAACTTTCAATGTGATGTAGATATAAATCGCTGCTCTGTCTCGATCTGATATATTTTATAAACTGGACTTACACCTCTTATGAAATAAACGAATCAGCTACATTAAGTTGTTGCGTATGAAAAAAAATCTGAGAGCCCGAAAGTTTCATATCAATTATATAAGAAGTTCTTAAAAAGTATAAATCTTTTGCTAAATAAATATTTACACATCACACAAAGTAATACGATTTTTTTACAAAAATATGTTTTTTTACAAAATAAATATTAATAAATTTAGAATTAGAAATATAGAAAAAAATTTTTTAAAAAGTTTATATTATTCTATGATTTTAAGGAAAATTGCTTTTCACACACACACATTTTTTTCTTTAAATGAAAAATCGACTGTGTATATTTTTTTGTTTACTCAAAAATTATATTCAAAAATCATTGATGTAAAATAAAAATTTTAATTTATACATAAGAATATTAAGAATAATATAAAACTATAAATGTAAAATTTTAAATCATACGCAATAATCCAATAACAATTAAGTTAGATTTTTTATTTGAAATAAATCTTCGTTACGTGAACGCAAATATTTCACGTTTCTCTGTGTCTATGCGTTTCGAAACGCATAGACATAGTTTTCGAACGCAAATGTACATGAGTCTCAAACGTACCTTGCACACATTTTCACATTGTTTTCAAGAGTGACAACAATTCTATGAATACGACTCTCAAAATATTCTAGCTAACCGCCAACTTAGAGAGAAAGAGAGAGATATCCATGTTGCTTGCATAAATATCGATCGTTATATAACTGATCGGCGTGGTCAATGTATATAAAAAACGAATTTTCATCTATTGGCCAATTCTCTCGGCTCGTGTTTTGAGATTGTAAATAAACATAAATAACCATACGATTCTAGATCACGATGTAAGTCAATAAAGTAATTACGTAGAGACGATTTTTAGGCGTTATTATTAAAAATGTAAAATCATATCCGCGGCTACAATTACGAGAGATACAAATGATCAAACTATTGATCAAATTGTCAACTGTCAAATTAAATACTACCGCACGCCTAACAGCGATAAAACTCGCTCATACTTTCGATATTTTCGTGCTCGATTTTCATTTATCTGTGATCATCAAAATTTTATGACATTTAGCGATGTCACAATACAGAATATATGACGATTACAGAAAGAAAGACGTAAGATGTTTCGCATACTAGAATGACAGAATAAAATCAATTTGACGTATTATTAAAAAAAAAAAAGATTTTGGTGAGAAACATCTGTATGTTGAAAAATATTGTAAATTTTTGACTGCCATTATAGTCACTTCTCCTTCACTTTTCTATCATCATCTGTCAAACATTTTTAAAGAAAACTAATTGATTATTTATTCACTATTGTAATGAAACAAAGAGACAGGCTGTTTAAAAAATTTTTTATATCTCTTTTTGATCGTAAAGTTCTAAAAGAGTTTCAAATTAGATAAGCGAAGGAGAAGTACTATCAGCATAAGATAAGAATAAATCGATATCAACCGAAGAGAGCTGACGCACTTTGTTATGTAATAAACATACAATAATGATAGTCGCGTGTTTGTTACGAGGTGCATTACCTATGCGATTATTATGCAAATGAAGACGCAACGGAACGAAGAACTCGTAATTATATGTATGTAATATATGTATATACATATTACTACACACATAAAATTCTACGCTGCCGAAGATACGACGCTTATCGATTCAAGCATATTGATACTTCGCGATATAATTTGTAATCAATGTTAAATAATCATCTTGTTTTTCTCAACTCTTTCATGGAAAATTTGTGTTAATTGTTGTTATTGATAAGACGATATCGAAGAAACACTTTTGCGCATCCGGGTAACGCTTTTTTCGATCACGATTCTTTGTATGATTTATAAAAATATATGTTCTCTACATTAACGTGATAAAAACGAAACAACTTATTGAGAATCTCCGTTGATTTATGAATACGAATGAAAAAAGACAGAAGAAAATTTAGAAACAATTAGAAAGATTGCGAAAATTAATGTGTTTCAATCGCGAAGAATTGATGGATTCTATTTTGAAATAAGATGTATTCTCGAGAATATCTTTACGTATTTTGCGAGAACGCATGGCATCGCGCTACAAACATGAACGATGTAAATTGAGTTGCTGTTTTTACGAATTCAATTCTCATATCATCTATTTCATATTTTCATACCATCATTCCATACCATCGGAAAGCGCCTTCTTTTTGATCGTTCATGTTTCACAAATCATGTGCACAAATAACGCGAACAATCTGTCTTCGTATTTTGCAGTGACGTTTATCCGAGCAAAAGCATTTCAAAGTTCTTTTCAGAAAACGCGATTCGATCGTGTTCCAAGCGAGATTGTGTTCGCGAGATCAAATCTGTCCCGCGTTCGCCATCGATTGCATCGCGTTCGATTGATTGCAAATCCGATGATCTCGATATTTGCTTCTTTATACACTCGATTTGAGAAAATAACATAAAACGCGAAATTTTAATCAACTCAAATCGCGTGCATTGATTCGAATCTTGATAATTCTGGTTTCTCATATAAAGAAGCGAAACTTTCTCGCGACAAGCATGATCGATTGGACGATTAACATTTAAAAAATTATGCGTGTTATGTATGTGTATATCTGGTGTGTGTATGTGTGTGTGTATGTAGTATGTGTGTATATATCGTATATGTTATAATATATAATAATACGTTGATATATCTTCGAATATAAGTTCGAATCGTACACGCGCACACATATCTTTCGAACTATTTTACTCGCTACTTTGAATATGTTTAAATTTTGCGAAAAATAAGACTAATTTTTAAGCTAACTATAAAAATCTTATGTGATTATCTTACTCCGTGAAAGCGATTGCATATTTTATTATCGCTATTTTCAATCGTCATTAGATTATGAGCGCAAAGTCAGCAAAAAATCTGACAATAACGTAAAAATACACGTATGCATGCACGCACACGCATGCATAAACGTATGTACACGCGATCTTTCCACGAAATGCATAAACATACACGTCATATTTATTTGTAACCGCTCTATTTGAAGGCAGTGACACGAATTGCGGTACAAATGTCGATGTTTTAAATATAATGACGTGACTTTAACACTAAAATCATCATCAAGAAATATTAAGATGTTACGATTGAGCATATATATGTTAATTTGTTAATTAAAATAAAATATTAACGATAATGCTCATTTTTAAGATTGAAAAAAAATGGATAATTTTTAATAATTTCTAACAACAATTTTTAATAATTTCAAAACTGTCAAAAAAAGAAAACTCTTTTTTTGAAAGATTAAAGCAATATAAAAAATAGTTGAATTAAAAGCATAAAAAATTCAAATTTCCGATGTATAATTTCGTAAGATAAGTCTTTAATTTATTTCTTATAATTTTTTCCTCTATTCTTCTTTTCCGAAAAATAATTTACTTGTGTCTGAATCCAAATAGTTCAATCATCAAGTTCAATCAATGTGAAATCAATCGACACACAGGCAACGACCTGAATAAATCATGGATATATCATGATTTATTAATGGACAAAGTATCTCTCGGAAGTGAATGCATCATATGACCTCATTAGAAGCTGACGTTAGACGAGTCTTGCATTAGACGATTTGCTGACGAAAACGCATTTGCATTCCATGATGTGCAAAACCGTGTTTGAATTGGTGAAGCATTATTGCGTGATTTCATGTTACGTGATGCTTCAATGACTAGTGACGTCTATTATACACAGTTAATTATTCCACGTAAAATAAGAACAATAACGATCGATCACTTGCCAGACATAAACCTTAATTGATCCTCTAAAAACATGCTCACGCGACATATGCATATAGTTACTAATTGTACCATTACCGACTCGAGATATATATGCGACATTTTTAATAAATTATTTTGAAGATTGCGCCTTATTTTTTTCTCAAAAATCCCATAAAATGCACGCACTTATTTCCTTATCTTTATATTAATTTTCCTTTGTACAAACTACTATATCCTACTGATATTCCGCGATACCTATTTCTATTATTAATTGCATTATTTCCATTAATTTCTCGATATTAACATTTTAACTTTTTTTGAATTAAAATATTGAAAAATATAATATATATGACATAGAATTATATAATATATGTTTTTATAATTAAATCATGAATAAATTTTTTATAAAATCTCTTGTTTATTTAAATGTTTCATCAAATATAGAAATTTTTATTTTTAAAATTTTATGACCAGGAAATATGTAATTTCGATCATCATTGTTCTCTATATATATGACTATATATCCATATGTTGCTAAAACTCTTCACGTGTTTGCTTATTTTTTTTATTGATACATCCCTAGTAGTAGAATGACGTCAAATGACGTCTTAAAACGTCTTAATTACGTCATAGACGTCATCTTGCTACCTGGGATTGATAAAGTCATTATTGATAGCATGACTTGCGTTTATAATTGCGTTTAACAGACGTTTCGAATTAAAACATAGAAATGTCTAAATATATTGTTCGACTAAAAAAAATTAGCGTTAATTTTCGGATAAACGGATAACACCATTGGTTACACGAATTTTGTTTATGTATATGTTATTTTTAACTTTTCTTTTAAAATGATTATTTGCAAGTGCTAATATTTAGCATTATGATTATTCTATCAGAAGAAATAATAGGATTTGCATCATCGGGGGAAAATCCATTGTATATATTATTGATTTTTCATTGTATAATTATATTTATACTCACCTTTTAAATCACGTTATAATTCGATCCCCTCCATTCATCTGGCATAGCATACGGGTTTTTCGGGATTCTTGGTGACGTCGTGAGTCGGCGTCGACTGAGTCAGGCTGAGAGAGAGAGGTTGTTGTCTATCTTCTTCCTACTAATATGCAGATCGCAACTGTCCTTGCCATTACTACCAGTCCGGCTTCGCTACAAATCGTCAGTTGAGTGCGCAGCATTTCGTCGTCGGTTTCGGTATTTTTTCGACATCATACGACATACAATACAGGAGCTTGTAATCACATAACGAAATCAGTGAGAAATTTCAGGTAAGCATAAAACGCTGATGAATTCAGTATGGCATTTATCCTTTGTCGATATCTTTTATAACGAGAGTATATAACATCTTTCCGTGTGTTGGGCGTAACCATTCATCCATTTCAGTTTTCTCCTTGAGGTTCGTCTCCCAACGCTTGTGACATATGTGACAGACACGTGGCAATTCATGAATAAATAATAATTGCAATAAACTTTAATATATCACGATGATTTCACTGTTTCATTCTCATAAAGTATTTTGTATATATTTATATTCATCAGACTATTGCATAAAATGCATATATCATGCTGTTAGTGATGTTAACAAATTGCATAGATTCTATGATGCAGCATAAATAGAGGAAGTGTAATTTTGTAATTTTCTTCTGTATGCAGGTTCCTCCAACAATTCAAATCTTAAACAGTCAAAATGAGTTACGGTTACCAAGTGAGTATATTAAACTTATTATTAAAATTAAAAAGTTTATTTCTAAATTGTATTACTTCTATGTTTAAAAAAATTAATATTTCAGTTTGATATTATATAATACACAAAATTATAGTCAGCTTTCTGGTATTGTTTAAGAATATAAATATAGAAAGAAATAAGCTTTTTAATTGAAGAAAGTATATAAATATAATGCATGCGTGTGAGATTGGTATATTGGTTTTTTTATCTATACCTTAATATATCTAAGGGACCACCTATTCAGTTGCCGGGACGAGCCCGACCACCAACATCATTTGGGACTCTATCTGGTGCACCTTCTGCCTCAAATACTCAATCTTATCCTCCAATGGGCTTCCCAAATGCACCACCAACATCTTTTGGCATGCCTCAACCATATTCTCAGGCAGCAACTCCTTATCCCACTCAGTCTATGCATCCTGCTCCTGATAACACATCAATGTACACCAATGTTTATCCTCCACAAATGCCATATCCTTCTCAATCTATGCCCACACCGTGTTACTCATTTAATGCAAATTCTAGCCAGCCTGTACCATTCCCTTATCCAAAGCAGCAAAATTACAATACGTATCCTAATCTTCAAAAAGCACCAGAAGCTAGAGAATGTTTTAACAATATAGCTCCTTCCTCTTATTCTTCTGGACTTAATGCACATGCAACTAATTCAATCCCATACCAAGGCGCAAACTATCCCAGGGGGCAGGGGGTAGGCTCAACATATTCTTATACTGCTAATCCACCTGCTGCTCCACGTGGTGCTACCCCAGCCCCCCGGAGAGACCGATTTACGCCTAAGGTGATTTTAAAAATAATTTATATGCATAAGACTTTTGAAAAAGTGTGATATTAAACATTTTTTTGTCCAAATATTAATATTGCCAAAAAAGTGCTTAGATTCTGTAAAGCATTCTAAATTTGATAAAATTTTTTGTTACATGACTATGATTTTTTGTTACATGACTATGATTTTTTGTTACATGATTGTATGATTTTTTGTTACATGACTGTATGGTTTTACAGACTTCTCCTACTGTTGTACCTTATGATGGCTTTGATGCAAGAGCTGATGCGGAAACTTTGAGAAAAGCTATGAAGGGATTTGGCACAGATGAAAAAACTATTATTCAAATTCTTGCCAATCGCAATAACTTGCAACGCCAAGAAATTACATCTCAATTTAAAACTCTTTATGGGAAGGTAAAGAATTGAAATTATTCTATAAAAAGAATTTTCTATAAAAGAATTGAATTATTCTATAAAAAATTAAGGCATAATACTACATAATATTACTGTTACATTTTTGTTAATAGGATTTAATAAAGGATTTAAAATCTGAGTTATCAGGAAATTTTGAGAAACTTGCTCTTGCTTTAATGACGCCTCTACCTCAATATTATGCAAAAGAACTTCATGAGGCAATGTCTGGTCTTGGTACTGACGAAACAGTACTGATTGAAGTATTGTGTACTATGTCTAATCATGAGATTTCTATTATTAAACAAGCATATGAAGGAAGTAAGTTGTCTAAAAAAATATTACAAATTACAAAATAATATTAATTTATGTTTATCTACTGAATATAACAATTATATAATAATTATAGTGTATGGAAGAACATTGGAAGATGATTTGATTTCTGACACATCTGGAAATTTCAAACGCTTGATGGTATCACTGTGTTGTGCAAATAGAGATGAATCATTTAATGTGGATCAAGCTGCTGCAATGGAAGATGCTAAACAACTTTTACAAGCTGGTAATTAATATAGGATATTTAGAATCTAATATTTCCTTATTTTAATCTTACATAAATAATATAACATTAATATTACAGGGGAGCTGCGTTTTGGTACAGATGAATCTACTTTTAACGCAATTCTCGTCCAAAGAAACTTTGCACAATTGCGACAGATATTTATAGAGTATCAAAATATAACAGGCCATGATATCGAAACTGCAATTGAAAATGAATTTTCTGGCGATATTAAGAAGGGTCTCCTTGCAATTGGTTAGTGCAAATTATTACAAATTATGAATATATATATAAAAGAAAATAATATTTCTCTAGACTAATTAAAATCAATATTATTTAAACAGTAAAATGCGTCAAACATAGAGCTAGTTTTTTTGCTGAGCAATTATACAAAAGTATGAAAGGCCTCGGTACGGACGACAGCCGTCTTATCCGTCTGATTGTGACACGCTGTGAAATAGATATTGGTGAAATAAAGAATGTATTTCTCCAACAGTATGGAGAATCACTGGAAGATTTCATATCTGTGAGTTATGTTAAAATATAGCAGTATTACATTACGTATCACTATATTTATATATTTGAGATCTAATTTTTCTTTCTTTTTATGATTTTTTCAGGGTGACTGTTCAGGACATTACAAAAAATGCTTATTGGCACTAATATCGTAAAATATTTTCCACTATATACGAACAAGTTTCATAAGTGAAACCTGTTTCATTACATTTATCGTCCATCATTTTACAAATACATACAATATATTATCTTTTCTTTTATTATCTTTCTTCTTCATTTTTTAACAATTTAGTTTAATAATATGAATTAATATCTATGTTGGAAAATATAATACCTCATTTTTAGATATAGATTTATATGAAAAAAATTTGCTTTATACATGTTACATGGTACAGGTATCTAGTTTGATAATCTTCTATAAAATATTTTATATTATGAACATTCCTACGTATTATAAATACTTTATATGAAATCACAACGATGATAAGTATCTAATAGATTCATGCCAATGCATGTGTGCTTAACGATGAATCTCGATATACATTGAGATTTTATATTTCTCATAAGAATCTATATGCCTTTTACCATTATGTGACATTACAATGAAAATATATATTTTACAGATCTGAAAATAGATCTATAATATGAGAGCGTTACAAACAAAGAAATAATATATGAATATTTTTTCTAAGATAATATACTACAACTATATATAAAAATGTTAAATTTTATATATTCTTTTAGAAAAAACACAACTCTATTATATATATTTACAAAAAATATATATTCTATATTTACAAAAAAAATTCAAATTATATACATATATATATATATATATATATATATATATATGTGTGTGTGTGTGTGTGTTTCTTGTTCAATATTTCGATTACTGTATTTACTGTATTCATATAAATAAAAATGTTAACTAGTATAAAAGCAAAATAGAATCTCTAATCATTAATAAAATACCATCGTAGCCCTAAACAAAATTGTGTCGTATGTATTGGCATGTAATATATATTCATGATAAATTATAATAAAAAAGAGAACATAATTGAATTGCTAATTACATACTTGACAATTTTCCTTCAGAGAAAGTAACTTGAAATATGTGGGGTTGACTCTCTCCAGGCACTTAAATCGTATACCTTTCTCACATTAAACTCGACACTTTATAAGACACCTTTCATAACTTTTTACGAACGAAGAAATCAGTTTTAACGTAACACAATTTGAGAAATTTGTGGAGCACGATTCGAGACTGCAAATTTGACACGACGCGTTCATGACTGACCGTGATTCGAAATTTATCGAAGATATTGCGATTCTCGAAGTACCACAATGGCGGCAATGATCGAGATATCGAAATATAATTGCAATAATTTGATGTATTCGTTTAGGTGACATTTTTTGCTACACTATACACGGTTATGATATAAAATGCACTTGGTCATGTCAAGATAGAATAATTAATATTTTCTTCTTTCGAATTTTAATCGTTATAACAAATATGTAAGAAAGGAGAGAATTATATGCATTTTATTATAGGTTACGATGTGAATAAATTAAATACAGTTTATCGCATATTTTATACGGTTCTTTCGCATTTTTTCGAAATTCACTTACGCGCAATTGCGAATATTATCAAGTAAAGTACATTTATTCCACAATTATTGATATTACTCATTCTAAACTATCTTAAATTAATAAATTATTCACGCGCGTATTTATCTCAGATAACATATGTCATATATCAGTCTTGTAATGACACTGATAAAACTCTTAATACTGATAAAACTATCTTAAAAGCATTATATTTCTCAGCTGAGTTGCATTTCGTCGAATTAATTAGTGACTATCACGGGATTCGAATTGCATTTATGAAATGGACGTCGATTCTGAATGCACGATTCTAGTTACGGGTTTTGGCCCATTTGATAAATACGTGGTGAACGCCAGTTGGGAAGCAGTAAAAGAATTGCAAAAACTGTGGATAAACTCCAAAGAATTTCTTGACATTGAATTGGTCATAGAAGAAATTCCAGTATCGTACAGTTACGTATCCACTCAGATCCCTCAGCTTTGGAAGAAACACAATCCTACAGTAAGCAATTCATATTTATGAGATATTCAGTTTCTCAATATATTTCTGTTTCAATTAAATTCCATTATTTTAGATTGTCCTACATGTGGGCGTAGCCGGTACAGCTGAATCTTTAATAATAGAATGCCATGCTCGCAGCAATGGTTATGAGAGATTAGATATAGACAGGAAGCGTCCTGATGAAACAAATATCGAGTACAATATCTTGAAAACTGGCATAGATGTCAAGGAACTTTGTGATAATGTGAATAAAAATTGTGAGAAACATAAATGTGGAGCTTGCTTGTCACACAATGCTGGCAAATATTTGTGTGAATATACTTATTATCAATCTTTGACTATTGAGCCGACAAAGACTCTATTTGTGCATGTCCCAGATTTTAATAAGTATTCCAGTATACAAACTGCTAAAGGCTTATATGATATTTTATGTTATTTAATAAGGAATTTGAAATGTAACTAATAATCTTAATTTAATAAGTATTCTCTTTGCGTAGTGTTTTTTCAATTATAATTATTAAATGTAACAAAACTATAATTTTATAAAAACCTATATATATTTATGACATATTTTCTTACACGTGTCTGACAGTTGATATATATATATCTAAAAATGAAAAAATTAACTATAAAAGAATATGTAAAATAATGTAACAATGTAATATATTATACCACGGAATGATTTAAAATTAAAATAAATAAAATTTGCTGTATACATGTCTAATATTAGAAATAAATTTAATAACATACCAATTGCTATATATTAGAATTTACGATCCAGTTTGAAATTTTGTCCGTGCAGGTGGAATATTGTATCTAAGTTCAAGGAATTCTGGTTTTCTTATCATTGATGCAACGTGTCCCATTTGGATTGTACAATCAGGATTCAAATTCGGTGGTAGTAATGTGCATTCCCGTTCCAAGATACAGGCTAACCCTTCTAATAATTCAATAAAGCCTATTGATGCTGCTGCGCGTCGTAATCTGTTTACCTCCTATGCGATCGTATAAAATAATTATTTCAAAATCATTTAATTCATATAGAATTCACTTTCTTTTTTCTTTTGGCACTTATAATTTACCTTATAAAAGTTTTGTGTCTTTTCTGGTAATTTTCTTGCGTGTCTTAATATTTTCTGAATGTCGGATTGTAAACCGACTTGGCGAATCCATGAAGGGGCATTTTGTGTATAACTTCTCTTTTCAGTTGGTCTCACTGGGAAACTGACTGGAGTTTTAGCCGCATCTAGTGGGCCTAAATTGCTGAAATTGCCTAACCATGGTACAACATCAGATCCTGGTTCTAATACTGTTAACATTAAGTTGGACTTCTTTTTAGTATCTGCCCAAGAATATATAAATCCATACCATTCATTGTTTAATAAGCAAAGGGCAGCCATATTTTCCACCTATAAATATTAATTAATTTTATTAATTCACAACTGCAACAAAAAAATAATTGTTAGACTTTTAAAAAGACATTGCCTTCAATGCACCATGAAGCAATACACAAAAAGACGGCATTTTTCCCTCGTCTCCGTTTTCATCGGTGTCTGAATCTTCTTCTAACGATATACCTTGCATACTTGAAGTTTTCTCTGTTGCTAATGGTAATACCAAATGTCTAGAAATGGAACTTGGGCTACCAACATCTCCTACAGATATAAATCCACATATTTCTATAGTTTTTGATATCACCAAATCTGGGACTAATTCAAAATCCGCTTTTTTTGTATAAGGCTAAAACATGAAGAGCAATGTCTATAAGTATTCATGATAATTTATAATGTTTTCTCTTTTGGTGCTTGTTATTACCATAGGTGCTGGTGATAATAAAATACGAGACCCTAAATGGCCACACTTTAGATATCCTTGGAAGGAAACATAATTTGCTTCAGCTAGTTTCTGAAAACAAGCAGCAACAGAATATTTACTAAGTGGAGATTCTGGAACTAGGACAATACTGTCACCACCAGCTAAATCAACTAAACGTTGATAGAGAGGCAAACCAGCCTGTAAACTAGGATCTAAAAGTATAAAGTGAATAAATATAGGATATAACTAAATAATATATTCAAACATATGTGATAAAAAATAAATATCAATTTCTAACTTACCCTGCTGTGATCCAATGCACACTATACTTAATTTTCCCGGATATGGAAAAGGTAATGGAAAGGGGTTTATATCTCTTGCGACATTTAAAGAATTTAAAGAATCGCCCAAGGACATCATTCCTACGCCAGGATTGCCATCTGTAATTAGTATTACTTGGCAAGCAGTAGCATTGCCCCATTCTGCCATAATTACATTATTGATGCCATGTAATGCTCCTTCGATACATGTCTTGTCCCATTCCTCGATAGTTTGTAACTTTGCACGTATACTGTCATAGTCGCGAGTAAAGGGACAAATCACTTCATACAACGATGAAAATACAATCTGAAATTTGTAATGTACTTGCAGATAAATTAATATACCTATTGTTCCTAAAAAAATATATCTTAATATAGTATTGAATTGTTCTTACCAGTGAGACAAATTCCAATTTTGAATTAACTTGCAAATAATGTAACAGAGCGTTTATACCATGCACTGCTAAATGATGCCGTGTTAATGGCTCATTTTGTAAATTATCATTCGTCCCATTTGTTAATACGGGTCTTCTCATTGACAAGGAAACGTCTAATGCTATGACTGTAGGCATTTTGACCGAGGAAAACTTTAACAAGATCGATTAAAAATCAAAGACTTGTGAAAATCTCATTATATTATATTATACATTTAATGATCTAATTATAATTTTTAAATGCATATTGCCTCTTCAATTCATAAAATTGTCGATATATTTTACAAACAGTATAGGTTATATATACAAATTCACGATATATTAAAGTTTGATGTGTATTAATTTGTTCTCCCTAATAAAAAACAAGCTTTGCTCGCCTCGTAATAAATAATTAGCAATTTTATATAATGCTTCTATGTAATGTTACTGCAATTATCAACGCTGTTGTATACCGGCATATTGACTACATATATATGATGTATATACAACTACATATGACATGAGTAAGATCGTGCACTGGACTGAGCATCAAGGTGCAATTTCATTGACGCTAAAAAGTAGGGGAGCGTCCCGTTTGACCACGTTGCGATTGACCACAGCCAATTATATCGACCTGTGCCTAGGGTAACCAGCAACGATTAACCAATCAGAGAGTCCTATTTTGAATTGGCGACGTGGTCAATCGGGTGCCACCCAAAAGTAGCGTCAATGAAATTGCACCTTCACGATAGACAGGCGAGCGCCCACTGTAGAGAGAGAAGTACTACATGGGAGACCTATGTCTGTCTCTTTTGCTAGTATCTCATTGGTAACTTTGGTTCGCGCCCATCGAGGCGGGAAACAAAATGATATCATAATTTATTAATTTATGTTTGAATATTTTCCGATACAAAATTCGTAAATACAAATATAACTGAAAAAACAAATTATTAAATTCATAATAATTAATTCGCGATTCTTTAATATCGAAGGTGATCGTTAACTTTGTAAAGTTAATATTTAATCGTTGACTTATCACATCGAATCTTCACTCTCTTATTCGACATTTCTTTATATTTAATTAGCAATATTTAGGAATATTATTTGACGAGGGACAGCAATAAAATTCTTTTGTTAAAATGATAATCTTATTATTTACGCGTATAAGGATGCGAAGAGAACGCGAAAAAAACACGGTATTTTCGCAATCATAATTTAATAATTTATTTTAAGAATATTCAGTTCCGCGCGATGTGGAATTCATAAATAAATAAAGCTAACGGAAAGCATATCATTACATTTATAATAATTGACTCACGATTCTGTAACGAAGGTGTCCGTCAAATTTGATAACGCGTATATTTAATTTAGCATCGAATTTTTACATTTTATATAAAAATTTTTCGAATTTATTAATGACCTTTTTGACGTGAAAATACAAACAGTTACTCTTTTATGAATATTCCAAAAATATATACTTCAGAAACAAATACTTTAATTTAATGAATTACTATTATGTTAATTAACTATTATGTAATTATTATACGTATACTTTTGATAATTTTTCGTGTAATTTACATAAGAATTTACAATCATAGATACAATTTCATATAATATAATTATAGTCATAATTGTATTGTATTTTACAATTAAAATATCAATGTTAGATTATAATTAAAATACAATTATAACTATTTATAATTTACAATTTACAATTTACAATTTACAAATTTATGATGTTATCAATATCAAATAATAATATTCGATGTATTCAAATATTTAATAACATCGATATAATAATTTGATATTGATAGCATTAACATATGGATTTAATATTATATTTGATTTAATATATATTTAAGTTTTAAAATAAAATATAATATGTTAAGATTTCTTAAACGTTAATAATTATGCAATTTCTTTAATATTTCTGAAGATAATTTTGATAATTTAAATTTCACTTTTAAAATATTTTTATTTTTAAAACATGTTATATTTATTTTTACGTTTTTAAAAATAAATTCAATTTAATGAAAATAATTTTAATTTACCCTTAGGATTATTGGAATATTAAAAGAAAGAATGAATCTTACTTAATAGCCCTAACAATCCTATTATTAAAGGATTCTAATAATTTTAATAACTTTAACAATTCTGCTATTACAGAATTCTAATAATTTTAAGAGCCCTAACAATTCTAATATTAATAAAAGAATTTTAATGACTTTACTAAATAGCTTTAACAACCCTACTTTCTGATTAACCACCCTACTTTCTGATTAAAATTATTCGAGATTTGAGGAACCTATCTCTAATCATCACCTCACCTAATCATGTATATATTTTAGTCACGTGCCCTAACCGTGTGCCCTAACCGCGTACCCTAATCATGTTTTTCAGGCCAGTTGAACCTATCCTTCGTTGATCCTGGCTATTTTCTTTCTCGATCTCTAATCAGAGATCGAAAAAGGAGATAATTACTCCTTCTTTTGCCGAATAATTATCGGCAAAAGAGCGTGAAATATTTACGTTCATTTAATAACGATCGTTTGATTTCACGATCGTTAGTTAAATATTGAATATAACTTTATTTTAACTAAAATAAAGCCAAATTACTACAAATTTCTATAAATTATATTTTATAATAAAATATAAAATTAATGTGTGTATTTATCATATTACAAATTATTTAATTAATTAATCATTTGGCTTTATATTAAGTTAAAGTAAAGTTTAAAAACAATATCTACAAACAAATTCTACGATGGATGAGCTATGAGCAATTAGAAAATAAGTGCGTATCATAAGAATAAATTAGCATCAAAAATTGATAAAATTCATAAAATTATTAATGCTCTTTATTTTATAAATTAGACAAAATCTTTACAAAAAAAATTTCTTTTCTTGATTCTTTTTTTTTATTTAATACTTCAATACATTTTCGCACACACAATAGGTGCAAAGCATTTCGAAAGAATTTATTAATAGTTATTTAATTTAATCTATCCTAGCTCATCCATTTTAAGGCAACGAATTTACTACAATCTACAATCTACATCTACATCTACAATGTCTACGAATCCGTCACCTTAAAGTTAAACAAAAATTTTTCTCACTCACCGGCACTGATGCGCAACAGCGGAGTTATCGAAGCTACGTTGTCTATAACATACAAATATAAAATTCATTTATAATAATGTTCGCAAAATGCAATTAATATTTCAAAAAATTTTTATCGTTCGAAATTTTATATCCGATGTGTAAAATAATAAGCAGAGATAAACATGTGGAAAAATTTTATAAATTTGTGAAACAGTTCTTTAAATAGAAAGTTTTATATGATTTTATAAAAATCTTTTTCTCTATTCTCTTTAATTCATTTAAATAATAAGACCGAATTATTATCCGTACAATTTATACCAACTGATATATAAATAACAAATATTCACCATCAGGTTGCTCCGCCGATGCAAGATGCCTCTTCCAGGCCTCCTCCTCCTCTCATGTTGTTGGCGCGCGATCCTTTGACGATACTCCCGCACTCGCGAGCGATATTTTTATATCGCTATTTTCGTTATTTTACGCGCGATACTGAACGGCACTCCCGCACTATTTCGATGCAATTAAAAATTTTATATTTGATCGCGCGATGTATATACTTAATATGTATATACCTTTAACGGCACTCCCTAATATGTATATACCTAACGCGTTGACGAAGCGCTTGCCGTCCGCGGCACGTTGACGGCACCGACGATGCGAAAGGGTACTTGGCTTCCCATTCAAGCACCTTAAGATTTATCATAAATTGGAAAATTTAAGATAAACCTCAAGGCACCGTCCAGGTACTAAGCCCTCCCACCGCGACAAGGTGTACCCCATGGGAGGGTTATATTATATTATATATAATTTTATATATAATATAATATATAATTAATTTTGTAATATACTATATAAATTTTAATTCGCAAATATAAACGATAAATAAGAATATAAAAGATATGAGAAAATCTATTATATAAAGCAATGTTCAAAATAATTGTTATAGAAAGAATTTGATAATATATGGAACGTCTCACTGTTCCCTCACTGTTCGAAGGCCACTGAGGGAATGATCGTAGGTCAGAAACATTATCGCGGTACTGTTTATATTGCCAAGATTGACTATGTAGAGAGAGAATTTGATAATATATGAAACGTCACTACTTTATTGTTCAAGGTAACTGTGGGAATGATCGTAAGTCATAAAACGTCGTTGAAATATTCTTTGAATGATTGTCGATTAAGAAAATTTAAAGCATTGGTCGAAATTTATTCAATTTTAATAAGTATCGTTAGAGAAATTATTATAATACATATGTAAGCATCAATAATCGAAAGATCATAATCAAATTAATTTCTTTATCCCCTTTTATGTTCCCTTTTTCAATTTTTATTCGCAGTAATTAATGATTGCGATTCGATAAAGATATATCGTTGCGATACATTTTCATGATCTTTATCATAAGTTAATTTATTTTTAATATGTTCATCATCGAAATATTTTACGTACTTTAACATATATATATATATATATATATATATATATATATATATATATATATATAATAAGCAATATAGCTATTTTGAAAATAATACATATATAAATAATAATAATACATAAATAATTTTTAGAAATTACTCACCGCATATCTTTCTGACTGCTTCAGGCTTTTTCACTGCTCTCTGAGTGTCCGATACTTTTCCAGATGTCCTTTTTTCTTCTTCATGCTTTGCCGTTTCTTCATAGCACTCATATTCACTCGCGAACAAACAATTTATTATATTTAGTCATATACTATAGAAACGATCGCGAGACTTTTGCACGGCACTCCCGATTGCGGAATAATTACGAGAAACGCACATTAATATATCGTATAAGGGATAAAGAAGTACGATTCGCTTTACAATAGTCGTAGCGAATTATATTTCAATACTAATCGCGATCGCGTTTAGGAAAAGAATTCAATAATACGAAGCGTTTTGTATCACTACTTTGCCGTTGGAATGTCGTGTGAATAATACAAGGTCGTCTATGTATTTATAATTTTTGCCTCTTTTGTTTCAATTTTTATTTGGAATAATGAAGGATCGCGTTTCAATGGATGTATCATCGCCATATAGTTTTATGTTATTTATTAAGAGTTAATTAATTGTTAATTGTAATAGTCGTAGTGAATTATATTTCGATATTAATCGCGATCGCACTGTTAGAAAAAGAATTCAACAATACGAAGTGTTCCGTATCATTACTTTACTACTGGAATGTCGCCGTGCGAATGATACAAGGTCTTCGCCTATGAAAACAATACAGCGCTACGTCATCATCACAGATCGAACATCGTGTTATTGACCTCGCTGCCGAAATATTTTACGCGTACTATAACGTACATATACGTACATATAATTGAATTTATATATAAGTATATTTTTAAAGTCTTACACACACACATGTACACACAGATTAATTATTTATTAAACGATTAATATACATCATATGCCTTTCCATTACGATAATTATTCGATTTTGCCTTTCGATCGTTTTACTGCGCGTTCTCAGACGAATTAAATATATTTAAATCATCACATAATTATATGATAAAGCATCGGACGAAATATTCTTAATTATAAATATTAAAAAAAGAATAATTATTGTTCCTAAGGATTGCGACAAAATGATAATTTATAATTTTGATTTCGGTCACACACATCGATTCTTAATTGCATTCGATTCTTTTTAATTGCTTAATTAAATGAACGCATTACGCAAAATACATGTTTCGAAATTATATTCTAATTATATTCCAATCATATAATCGAGTATTTCAAATAATGGAAAGAGCAATCAACTATTTATTAATAATAAAAGAGTCAAATCAACTATTTATTAATAATAAAATTGTAACTTACGAATGTATTCCGTTTATTTCCTTAACACCGCGGCAACAATGAATAAACTTTTAAAATAAATAATCAGTATATCGAAACAGTTTTACCGATTTAATTACTGATATAAAAACCGATCAATTCAGACTAGTTGGTGAAACGGTATACTGGTTATTTTCTTAAAAGAATTGTTATATGACGAATTGATATATTGTGTTTACGCGCGTCACGCATTCGAACTCAATTTTGACTTCTCGCGGGAAGACTCGAATCGTTCGTCGAGAATCGATTCTTCAAAACGCAATTGTTCTGTATAATTTTTACAATTAGTGATATTAAATATTAAAATCGCTTTGAATGTGTGCGTGCGAAGATACGTTTATGAGTCTGAATCTGAATCATATAATGGGGGAAAACGAAAAATGCCACATTTCTAGCATGTGATTATCATTTCTCGAGATTAACTACATCGATTTTATTCAAACTGGTCGCAATCGAAAGCTTGTATTCACATTATATAAGAAAAATGCCATTAGATTTTTTACTACTAATGTTTTTTAATTTAATAATAAATTATATGGCAAAATTCTTGGAGCACTCTATCTCTAAAATATTTTTATTCCACATTATGAAAAACTCCTTCTCAGTTTAAATTTAAAAATCTGTTTCGTTATAAGAAAGACACGATGATTGATTTAATCGATTTGAGGGATTTCTTGTTGTTTTATTTGTATATCCACAAAATAAATTTGAAAGAGTAAACAAAAACCTAAAAAATAATAGTTATACATTATATTGTCTTATATACGATACTGTAATATTATACTCTAGTCATAAGTTACGTTTTTTCGTTAACTTGTTTAAAGAGAATTTATCAATACAATCTCGTAATAATATAGTTTATAAAATTTCATTTAAATGTATATTGCAAATTATAAAAATTCTTAAATTTTTGGTAAAAGAATATACTACTTTTATATAGTATAGAAAAATTCAAATATATATATATTTATAGATATTATTGTATTCTACGCGACGGTGGTCTCTTTTGCTTTAGACCGGCGCGAAACAGACGAGCCTGCTTTCTTAGCGCTCGGCCACTAGTAGCACGCATTTGGAATTGGAAAAACGATGCCGGGATTTGCTTACATATCGTTTCTCGATCAAAACGTCTGTTACGACCTCAGAAGTTGTGTGTTTACATGACACACATATTTATTACAATATCACGTATCCCTGTTGTTAGTATTTGGAAGTTTCTTGAGATATTAAGAAGGCATAACTGTGCATATATATTTTTCTTATTACACTGATGATAATGAATAAAACATTGATTTATTGTGGCTATTTCTTATAAGAGGACATAAATTGGCATACATTTTGTGATATATTTCAATATACAGAGTAAGTCGTTAAAAATTGAGTTTATTTCTATGTATTTGTTTTAATTTTTCCTTTTCCATTAAATCATGATAGAGACAATGCTTTGTTTAATTTGTCAGTTTGTACTTTCTAACAAAAATATATTTTTGTAGATATCTAAGAAAGTAGCATCATGTTTGTAAAACTGTTATTATATAGCAGTTTAACAATCATTGTACCGGTCTTTTCAATCGACTGCCAGAGAAGCAAACTAAATGAAAGAGTCATGCTGGTGCAATCATCCTATATAATACCTAAACAATATGATATCTTTCTTGCATCAATTACTACAAATAATTTTTTTATCGGCAAATGTAATATGAGTATTGAGATATTACAATCAAAACGTAACATATACTTGCCTATAGATATAAAACATGTTATCGATATAACGGTGATTAAAGATCCAAAATATTTTCACCGAGAAATAATTCCTTATAAACTGGTAGATTGTTTGTATGATAATGAGAAGAACATTGCCGAATATATATTCTTAGATAATTTTTTGCCGAATTATTACATCATAAAACTAGAATATATTATAACTGATGCAGATCAAAAAAGAATTTATACAAAAAATGAACAATCGTAAGTAACTGTTGAAATATTAAATATGTAGTAATTACAGGATGACACAATCCTTGTACAGCATTCTATTTATAAAAAAGTGTTTTCTAAGAAAAGATTTATATAAGTGCCTATCTGAAATGTGCCTATCTGAAAAGTTTCCAATCCTATTAGGTTAAATTATAAATACAAAGGCATATATATGCCTTTGTATTTATAATTTAACCTAATATATATCCTATTATATGTTTCTTAGTAACAAATTTTGCAACTTATTACCATTATTATTAATATGAATGTAAACTGCAAATAAAAATTTAATTAAATCAGCAATAATGCATATCTTATACAACATTTTATCTTCAACTATCGGACGAATTCAAATATTCCGGTAGTGTTTTGAATTGTTTTCAAAATTTAATAATAAAATTCTGAAAGATTTATGTTTATGTTTTTATGGAACTTGCTTATTTGATATTTAATATTTTGGCAAATATTTTATTTTTACACTGTTTACTAATACCAAACTTTAGGAAATCATTATTAATATTTAATTATATATTAATATTATATATATATATATATATATATATATATAATATTGATACTAAAATATTAATTATTAAATATTAACTATTTATTTTGTATCTGTATATTCTAAAGTAAACATTTCATGACCATTATGTTTTACTAATGTCAAAATACTTTCAAGATCATTATTAGATTACATAATGTTATACGAGATAAAGAACAAAATAGTAAGAAGAACTCTGCTTTAATTTTCTATATGTATTGTTCTTATATATAAATTGCATTCCGTATAACTTCTCTTTATTCAATTTTTAATATGTATTCTATGTAATTGTCGAAAATTTATTATCATTAATTCATATTTCTAAATGTGATAGGTTGGTAACATATGTTGATACTATTGGGACCCAACACATGATTCCAAGTTTGCCCCGATTTTCTTCGAACGAGACCGAACTTCTTTTCTTCTCGCCCGCCTATAATATTATTATAGAACATCAATATTATAAAGTTTTATCAAATATGCCGATACAAAAAAACGTAATGAAGAAAAACGTGATGATAACACATTTTCATACGTTTGTAAGACCTAAATATTTTGTATTTCTGGCGAACCAGACTGATATATTTTTCATGCCTGGTTCAAATCACAGTAAAGTCAGGGTTGATATGTGGTGTGGAATACACTGCGCATTTGCACATCAAATTGTTCAAAATATAACTCTATATTTGTTTGATAAATGGAAACGCCTGAATGAAACTTGGCAAATAAATCATGTTGCAATTCCGGATTTTCCGGAAAAAGAGAGCATCATAAATCTGGGCGTTGTTATTTATAGGTAATTTATAATTATAATTTATAATTAAGAAACATTAATATATTTCGAAAGACGAAAAAAGAATAATTGATGGTACCTAAAATTATCTACATATCTTTTGTCCGTTTTCAAATATTATTTAAAAATATTATATATATATATATATGTATATATATATATATATATATATATATATATTTATATATATTTTATAATCACAAAATTAAAAATTATAAATTATAAATTAAAAACATAAAATTAAATAATTATATTCAAGTTTTCATATTTCTTATCACTCACAATTTAAAAAAATTTATATATATATATATATATATATATATATATATATATATATATATTGAAAGCATTACATATATATTAAGTAAGTATCGCATTATTTGTGATGAGTCCTTCATACGCGCAGACATGATAAAACATTAATATATAATTAATATGTTAATTTATAGAATTATTTAATTATATTAAATTCGCAAGCACAAAATATTTTCAACAGTAATAAGTTTTCTATAAAACATATTTTTAATTTTCAGAGAAGCAGATGTTACTTATATTGAGAATGTCGATTCTGTTGCACGTAAAATTAAAATTACTCACTTCATAGCTCAGAAAGTAATACAGGAATGTTCTTATTATGAAAATCCACTTTGGCCGTTATTCTCTCTGTTAAATGAGGCTATTGTCACATTTCTTGGATTATACGTCACCAATCAGGTTATTTTAAGCATTCTTTAGTGCAAAACGTGCTCACTAGCAAACAATGTGACGGATATATATACATATATATATATATATATATATATATATATACTATATATATTATATATATATATATACTATACTATACTATATATATATGGTAAATATTTACTTTTACACAGTTACCCCCAAATGACTCGACCTTGACATAAATTGTCAAGGTCACTGCCCTGAAGAACATCCAAAAGGTTTTAGGCGTCACTCTTTGTTTATTAAAAAGTTATAAATAAAAGAAGTTTTATAAGGTTCACAGAAATTTTGGACTATGTACAATAATAGACTTTTCATATTGAAAGTTATAAAGGAATAAACATATAGAAGAATTTTATAATAAACAACGAGCGACGCCTAAAATCTTTTGGATGTTATTCAGTGCAGTGGTCTTGACGATATATGTCAAGGTTAAGTCATTTGGATCTGTGTAAAGTTAAATATTTACTATTATACCGTACAATTTTTTATAAATAAGAATATTAGGCAAAGATTCCATATTTACAAAGAAAAGTGAATTTTTTTAAAATGTTAATTTTTAAGTAAATGCAATATACATAAATAATACAATTTAAGATATTTTTACATTTCTATGTTTCCTTTATTCTGTGTGTGTGTGTGTGTGTGTGTGTGTGTGTGTGTGTGTGTCAAAGTCACTATGTTACATTTGTCCGACTTTAAATTATTATATATAAAAAAAGAAAAATTATTATTCAGATTCCACATAACATATGTATACATGTAGAAATTGTGTAATAAGATAATTTTGTTATATAATATATATTAAGAATTCTAAAAATATTAATTTTAAAGTTATATGTTGAGTAATCATTTTTGTTATTAATATTATATATTTTTAAATTATTTATTCTATATTTTAAGAGTATACGGGTATAAGAGATTTTTTTACGTAGAAAGTAAGAGCTGTAATGCATATTGCTATTGTGTGTTGAATTTAATATTAATTATGTAAATACATTTAAACTATTTTCTATAGGCTATCCCAAGTACTCGGATGATAGACTTGTTTGTGGTACAAATTCAACAAGAATCCCTTCATTTCGATACTGAATATAATACATCACTTTATAACACATCATTCAACATTTCTTTTGAACATTACAGTTACATTAAAGGTATGATAATATAAATAAAAATTGATTACAAGTAAATTTTTTTAATTTATGATCATTAATATCTTTTTATATGAAAATCTCTATTTTTTATTACATATTCTTGTAGATTACCTCGACAGATTTCCAAAACGCTATAATAAAGTATTTTTTCATTGAGTACTAAGATATAACTTTTCAAGTTATATCTTAATTTTACATAAACTATAAAATATCTAGTAAAATATTTATTTTTCAATTATCTTATCTTAATAATTTTATGTATTAAATAATGAGACGAATCAATTGGTTTAAAGAAAAAACATAGTTGTTTTAAGAAAAAATATAATTGTCAATTGCAAATTAATGTGTTTCATATCAGTTTGGTTAAGAAAAGTATTAAAATTGTCAAACTTTAACTTGTTATATCTTTTAAACTAGTGTCGTCTCTCGTTTATTTTTTTGCGCGAAATTACTCAGGATAACTTCCTCTATAACATATTCAAATGATGATAAAATCGATGTAACGTTTTATGTACTTTTACCATAATTATTGATTATTGAATTATTATTTACTATAACTATTATTTTATTCATATTCTGATGTAAATTATATAATTATAGTACCCGGCATATTGCGTAGATTACAAAAACTGATTACTAAAGAGATATTTTGGCAGAGTATCCGTATATATGTAAAGGACAAGTAAGTAATGCACCATACTACTATAATTACTATTTTTATTTAAATTAAATTTATTTTACTTTTTAAACTTACATCATTTCTTATATCATTATTTATATATATATATATATATATATATATATATACATATACATTTATATATACATATACATATATACATACATATATACATACATATATATATATATATATATATATATACATTAAAATGGCTCACCCTGTGTATATATGTATGTATATATTTATATGTATAATATCTTTCGTTAATACATTAATAAATTTTGTATAAATTTTATAACTTTAGCAAGCCAACTCTTAACTATTTTGGTGAAATTATGAAGAATCTTTCGTACAATCAAAAGTCTTCATACAAGTCTACATACAATTTAACTCGTATAAAGGAACTAACCACTATGCTGCACAAGTCTCCAATAAAACGAATATATTATACTGTAATGGAAGTAATACGAGATTATAAAACTTATTATTATTCGATTAAACCGATAAAAAGGTTGATATCAAATAAGTCGGCGGATGATTACATATCGGATTCTACAGAGTTGAATAACTCTATGATACATAATATAGGACCGCTTAAGTTTCTGGTATATAATTCAAAAGAAACTGGTAAATTTGCAATAAATTTATTACATTTTATAATGTTTATCACACATTGGAAAGAAAGATTTACATTATTAAAAGTGTTATTCATTATATTATGTATTACATATATTACATTTATTATACATTATATATACATACATACATTATATATACATGCATACATACGTACAATTATTAGAAATATTCAATTTTCATGCAAAATGATTTTATACCTAATATAATATACAATTTGCATTTTCATTTATGTTCACTTAATGATACATTTTTTATTTCTGTTAATGAACAAAAGTATAAGTACAAAAGTATAAGTACAAAAGTATAAACAGATACTTATACTGATAAACCCTTTGAAAGAATTATATATATATATATATATATATATATATATATATATATACAATTTATTTATATTCGGCAGGATATTATCGAGTCAATTACGATATCGAGAACTGGCGAAGAATTACAAATTATCTAAATTCTAAAAATTATAATAAAATACATGTTTTGAATCGTGCTCAAATTATCGATGACGCTTTCCACTTAATGATAACAAACCAACTTAATTCCACTGTATTCTGGAATATTACAAAATATCTATCACAAGAAACAGACTACGTGGCATGGTATCCTATGTTCAAAGCTTTAGAATATCTGTCAAATATCTTTCTGTTTCATGAAAAAATATATTTTGATATCAAGGTAATAACACAAATTATAAACAATGTCAATAGTGATGTCTTTAATATACTAAAAACATATTGCACATGTTAATATTGTGTGTATTTATAACAATAATTATTAAGTGTTTTCCAAAAAGATACATATAATAAAATATATGTAGCTAGAAAAAATTTGATTAGATATTTTAAATATACATATTTTGGACGAAAGATAAGTATATTTGTAAATTAACATTTGAATAGTATGTACTAATAATACAAGAAATTGGAGAGGAAAAGGGAGAAAAATTTGAAAATTGTTATCATTTTTAATCAAAACATAATATTTTTAATGACGATTTAAATATCATTAATTTTAAGTTAGAAAGTTAGTAGGAAACATATATATTATTTGTCTGTGTGTTTAATACACAAAAGAGTTAATAATTTATTAAATTATATTATACAATAAATATAATGTCTACATTTATGTCTACATGTCTACAATATATGCATGCATGCACTTCTGTATGTTTATATTATGATATGAACATGTGTTAAGCATGTGTGAATGTGCACGCAAGAAAAATACAAATTTGTGTATAAATACATATATGTAAGTATAGCTATATAAGATAGATATCTTTATAAAAAATCTTTAGAGGTGTTTACAAAGACAGAATGTTCTGAATATATAAACCTTCTTAATATGTAAAATAAAATTGCGCAAGATATCTTTCAATATACATAGCAAAATATAATGCAAGAATCGAAAAATATAAAATTTATATCAACTAACAATATAAATATATATAAATACATTTATATATATATATATATATATATATATATATATATTTATATATTTAGGTGAATGTACTAATCTTACTATACAAGTTGCTTGATTCACTTAAATACAATGAACTTGATTCTAATGAACACGACCTTACAAAGAGTTTGAGAATGGATGCTGCGAAATGGGCATGTAATCTTGATGGTCGCATATGCATAGAAACAGCCCAACATAACTTAAATCAACATCTCGAGAATCCAGAAAAGAAAGCGTAATTTTTCTTGTATATTTCCGATTATTTTAATTTAAATGTTTTGTAGATACATGTGCAATGTTTGTTACATTATTCCATGAAAATTTAACTTTATTAGATTATGTTATAAAATCATAATTTGTTAAATTATTTAATCAAAATATAAGATTAATATGTGAAAAACTTTTATATGAGAATTTGTTTTTTGTTAAATTTCATAGGCTTTTGCCATGGTGGAAAGAATGGACATATTGTCAAGGTTTAAAAATATTGCACTATCCTCTTAGCTATGAAAGTATGAAGGATTCTCCTTGGTGGAAAGTATTTCGTCTGGGAAAAGAAAAATTTAAAACTAAATTTTTAAAATATCTGTCTTGCCCTGAGGATTCAATATTTATCATACCCTATTTAAATCTAATAAAAAATGATAGTGCACCATCGATTATATTTTTAAAAGATTTTTCCGATAAAGATTATATTAATTATTTTCTTTTTACTATCGCGAAGCATGCAAGGAATCCTGTAGTACTCGACTTCATATTAAAAGAACTTGAGAACATAAGACCTAGGTAATACAGCTTCCTTTGTAATATATATCTATCATTCAACAATTTATGTATGTATCAATAAATTTATTATTTTACTGTTATAGACAAATCAGCGAGTATGCAACATTAACTGTAATTATTAATCATGTGTATTCCACAAATCAACTCAAAAAGGTAAAAATTGCATGTGCTTATGCATATATATATATATATGTGTGTGTGTGTGTGTGTGTGTGTGTGTGTGTGTGTGTGTATGTGTGTGTGTGTAAAATAAATAACCATGATGCGACATCAAATATTGCTGTTTAATATCATCAAAATAATCTGTTTTAGATAAACGACTTCTTCACAAATAAATTTTTTAATGAAACGCAAGTTAAATTAAATGAATGTGAGAAGTTATCGCCTTTAAAGGAAAGAAATATGAAAATAAAGGTAAATTTTATGAATATTATTATACTAATATTTCATTTATTAATCATTAATTTTTTGTTTTCATACAGAATGTATTAATGTTACAGTATCCCAAAGTAAGCAAAAATTAATGTCATTTAATTTTTTTTTATAAAATAAGCATAGTTTTATTTCTAATTTTCGAAAATATATTATTTTGGAAATACGTAATTTTTAATGAATGAGAAAGTGAAGAAGAGTATGCGAGCAAGCAAAAACAAAAGAGAAAGATAATTTCTTTACTTGGAAATTTTAGTGAAAATTGATTTATATAAATTTTAGAAAGAGAATTTACAAGCTTCAACATATTATATTTAAATCTTAGTCAGTCTAGATGTTTAGCTTTTAGTTAAATAAATAAATTTAAATGTTTTTCAATATGATTGAGAAAATATTACGTAATGTGATTCGCACTTTAATATTACGAGCCACTTGTTTACTAAAATAAAAATTTAATAAAGATGGATAAGTTGAGAAGAATTAATGCACTTGCTAGATATAATAATTTTAATATTATAATATGATAATGATATTATCTTTGTGACAGCTGCAGCTCATGTAAATTTCTAATTTTATTTTTAAAATCTCCAATTCTAAATTTTGATTTTTATTTGTTGAAAGTTATTTGTTGAAAGTTATTTGTACAGTATTATTTATAAGCATTCCTTGCAAACAAAAGAATTGTTAAGTAAAATATAGTGCAACACAATGCATATAATATAATAGAACACATAGTACAATAGAAGAATGATTATTCTCATTTTAGCAAATTTGTAATTTTCATAATCTCGATAAGTCCATAATTAATATTTATTCCTATTATATTAAGATTATTCTTATTATTATATGTATTAGAATACTATCGTAAATGTATATAATATATATATATATAAATTAATAAATATATATATAATATATATATTATAGACCACACACACATACACAAGAATATATTTAATTATAATATTTAATATAATATTTATTAATTATATATTGGCTAATACTTGAATACCGATATAATCTGTTTTAGGACAAGCAACCTTAACACAATCAGCAGTATTATTTCAGATGTATCAGCAACATACTTCAAATTTGAAAAACAAAGATACAAATGCAATATATTTCAAATATTGAAAGCAAGTACAAATGCGCTTTTTCGAAAATCAAAAAGTCAACAGAATTACTTTCAAAATTTTGTCAAATATTCAGGATGGGCGTTTTTTCCAGGAAAATAACGCATCAAAAAAGCCGTCTTGGGACATGCTTAGTTCTTGGGATATTTCGTGATGCTTATAACTCATTACCATCTACGCGTTACCGTTACCGTTACTAAGAAAGAACGATTCGTTACTTTTACCCGTTACTTATTAATAATACAAAAATTAAATTAATTTATTTTAAAATATATAATTATTATTTTATATATTTGAAAATTATAAGATATCATCATTGTGTTTCTTCATATTCAATTTTCTCATTTTATTGTAATATTAGAAATTTAGATTATGAATACAGAGGAAACATGCATGCATGTATTATATATTTTCTAAAATATTCTATAAACTGTTTTGTAAGTAGGATAGTTTTTCAATTACTAAAGGGAGATACATACCAGGATTACAGAATAAAGTAACGCATAAAAGTAAGGCTTAAATTTGTTACCATTACTGTAAAAATGATAAACCGACGTTACATTTATCGTACAACAGAAAAAAGTAACGATTGTTACACGAAAAAAATTAACGGTTACGGTAACGACATATATACAGTAACGCTGTTAACTCTTCGCAAACTGTGCAAATATCTAACAATAACCGTTTAATAAAAGTAACAATTGTGACACGAAACATCTATCATATCTTTACAAGCTTTTTATAATGTTTATCAATTTTCGATTTATATTTTCTTATGTGCGTTAATAATATATAATTAAGTAACACGTGCATTTACAAGGGATACTTGTGGCCTGCAATTAAACCGGTATTTTCATTTCTTTTATTAACATGAAAATAACCACAATGTTAATATCGACCAAAAGGAAAAATAAGAGAAGGCTAAGAACCATTGTATAATCGGACGAAAGAGATTTTGTCATTTTTATCCGTACTTATTCCATAAAAACAAATTTTATCAGGAAGCGCAAACAAAAAAATGCATGGATAAATAATATGTGCACTGAAATAAATAAATGTAAAAAAATATAATCAAAACGCATAAATATATAATATATTTTTATATTATAAAAGTTGTATAATTAAAAAAAAATTCATTGCGAGACTCGAACCCGCAACGTTGGAAATATAAATTCTAAGACTCTACTGCTACGCGTGTTCGATTTGAGGTCTACTTTGCTTATACTAAACTTGAAATTTTTTAATGTTCTTTTTTAGTATTTGTAAAACGGTTTAGAAGAAGCGCGTTTTATCCGTTTAACAGGTATTCATTTGATATGCTACCCAAGACGATACACCGAGTTTTCGGCGAATCGATTGATATCACATGGGACCTCCCCTTGTCACTGTCTTCTCTCAATATTAATTTATTAAATATATTTAATATAATATATTATTAACATTTCTATTTCCTTTTTTATTTCTAGTTCCGGACATCATTTAAAATGACTCGATTCCTTTATCCTGCATTAAATTTTGTAATATAATTTATATAATATTTTAATATAATTGTTTTTGTTATACATAATTACATATTTTGTAATGTATTTATGCAATGCAAGTTAATTGTAATTTACTATAGATATATAAATTATAATTATTGTAATATTGAATATATTAAATGCATATTTTATATACGTATTATATTTTCTTTTTTAAAAAACTTTGGAAACTTCTGCATTAAAGAAAATAAAAATAAAACAAAAAAAGTACTTATAGATTCCGTTCGGCTGAGTTGGAAATTGTCATATATTTTCAAACTTAAGAATAAGACAGTAAATATCGAGAGTAGTTACTGATTAGGTGTTACTCATGCTAAATGATCGAAGGGATCAGACTAAGAGAGATGAATCAACACTATAAAATGGATTATATTCACATTTATAAATATTATTTACATATCAATTTAACTTCTTCACTTATAGTTCATTTTAATCAACAAATATACGTTTCTGTACTTTATGAAAAACTATCTTTAACACAAAATTTACAACAAATTATAACAAATTAAAAATTAAACTTTTCTTATTGATTAACAATTTAAATGTTACCAAAGAACCCATCAGCAAAACCCAATATGCTATAGAAAATTAGTATTACGTCGATTAAGGTCATTACACCCAGTCCGATCAAAACTAAAAAGCTTGCCAATACCTTCTTGCCAGTGTCCTTAATAAAAACCTATAATAAAAATTTTAATAATATATATATTAATAAATTGTTTAATTAATTGATTATCCGTTATTCTATTTGTATTTTAATGCTACTCTTTTGCAAAAATCACCTGTCTCTAGCACCAAAATCCTCCAAGGTATATTGCTGAATATCAGAGCTGAGGACCATCGATATCATACTGTCCAATTGCAAGGCAAGTTTTTCTCTATTTAATACTTTCGTCTGCCCAGGCACAATTACATCGATCATTTACTGTATACAATTTGTTCTTTACAATAAGTAATATTATTATTCTCTCTCTTT